TTTTCATTTTTTTTGAAAAACAGGATAGTGCTTGCCTCAGAATTGAAGGAATTATTATCTTGCTCACATAATTCGTTCACCTTAGCTTTCATTTTAGTAATGAGTAGTTATGCTACAACCTTTTCTATCCATAAGCTACCTGCAAGAGATTATTCTTTATGAAGTTTTCAGGTTGATGATAACACGATACTTGTGCCTTCTGAGTGAGAAAGGAAAGGAAAATTTTCCACCAAAGGAAGTGGTAGAACTATAAATACTTCACAGAGACAGTAGGAATTTCTTTTAAACAGTCTTCTAACTTGTTGTGTGGAAATAAAAATTTAGCTACACAAAGTCATTTAAGAATTCAAACTCTGGAAAACACTACTACTACAACTAGAATATAATTCAGTTCTCGTTCTGAAGAGGAAGTAAGATGCCATGAACTGGCAGAGTAATGACTAAACTTTAGAGGATATTCCAATATTAAGAAAAGGTTAATGGAATAGGTCTGAGAGTAAAAACTAAGTGAAACATTATCTTTGGATGTTTCATGGGTACTACTTAAAAATATTATCACTGAGGTTTGCAAAGTATGCAACAAAACAGGATCTATGTGGAAAAGTCAGGCTGAATGCCATTCTTTATAAGTGAAGGAAAAGAAACACATTTCCCATTTTAAATGCTTCTGTTGGGAGAGCCACAAAGTATGAGAAATCAGTCAGTAAAAGGGAAATTATAGTTGCTGAGAATAACTAGAAAAGTAAATATCTAAAGGTATGGAACCAAGCAATGTGACTGTCTTCCACTGTATTCAGCACAGGAAGCGTGGGCAAATGCTTTGCTGGGTTTTGCAGCTCCTTAGGGTTTATCTTTAAATGTTTCTCTGTTTTTCACTTCTGGCAGGAAGCACTCTAGTTTGTTTTCATCAAGTGAAGACTTTCCAAAGTCAGCACCTTAATCTTTTTTAAACTGGCAGGAAACATCTCCTTGTCCTTTCATTTTCTAAGCAGCTCCCTTGAGCTATCCTGCACTCACTGCTCTTTAGTGACCTATTGTCTTTCCAGAGGTGCACCACAGTGTATATGTTTGTTTAGCCTTGATTCTTGCAGATCCACTAGCCCAGACAATCTCAGAAAACAGAAGTGAGGGTTTTTTTATGCAAGGCTTGATATCAATCATCATATGCAAGGATAGAATCAAAATATTAAGAGTAAAACAAACAAAAAAATCCAAAAATTCAGTTTTGTGAGGAAAATGCAGTGGGCATAACTCAGTTGTTGGCATCAACTTCATGACTCATTTTCATTAAACACAGGTATTTTACTGGAGGCACTGAATTAATCTTGTAGCTATATATTCTTAAAGGCTCCAGGGCGATGAAGGACATTAAAAATTACTGTGTCAGACAAAGAGTTTGCAAGCACAGTAATAAAATAAAGAAATAAACCACCAAGACTAGATCATCTTGATAAAATAGTGTATTGGTAACACTAGTTCTGTAATGCAAGCTTACATTTCACTCAATATTTTTAGCATCTGTCAGTACAGCAGAGTAAAAGAGAAATCAAAGCACCTCTTTTTTTTTTAGACTTTTTTTAGTACTTTTCCACATCTCTCTTGAAAGCATACAAACAAAACCAAATGCACAAATGGACGTTGCAGTTTATCAGGAGGCAAAATGAATTTCAGAACTACTGCCCTGAGTTGCACTGGTCCCCTTTTGGACAGTTCACCCTTCTCTCCATGGTGCTGGTGCAATTGCCTGTGTGAACATGGGTTAAAAGTCAGTTAAGAAGTAATTACGAGATGAGAGGCAAATACCATTCTATCAACATCTACCTATCAGACAGAAACATGGGACAAATAAAGTGACACTTTAGTATTTAATGCTAAATGCTGTATGGTATGTTTATTAAATGCGTGGAATAATCAGTGTCAGGGCAGCAGCTCTTGATTACATTGCTAGATGGTACGAGTTAGCAGAATTTGCATGGGACTATGAAGAATTTCAGTGGGACAAAAGCAGACTGAATGAAGAGGTACCACCAACTCAAATTTCAGTCTTGATAAGTGCTAAAATGTAAATTTGAATGGCTTTTAACTTGTAAAGGGTTCAAAGCTGAACATTGCACTGAAGAAAGGGATGCATGTTTTACTGTAAACAATACACAGTAAAAAACTTCCAGTGTCCATCTGATGTTGAAATAAAACCAAACGGAATGCTAAGGAGTATATAGAGTAGATTAGAACACAGCAATTTTCTAAAATCCAGTTGTAGAAAAACTGAGGTATGTTAAATGAATAAGCAGCATTAAATAAAATGCAGAAAGGTAATCTCAAATTTCTAATGCTAAATGACTCAAGGAATGTTCAAGAAAGATGAAAGTTCTTTTCATTTACCCAAATAGATTTTGGAAACCACTAAGAACAATAGTGGAGCAACATTTTGTCAGTGAATAAATAAGTTGCTGAATGGAAATAAAGGAGAATTGAGGTAATGCCAATATTATTTTACAATAATTAAGGATAGGGGTTTTTAAAAGGCTTGTTAAACATCATGCTTCCAGTTTAAGGCAACCTCTATTGTGAGTAAGGCTGAGTCCATCACTGTGAGAAGCTGTATCCTATTTTTAACTCAGCATTACAATTCTTTTCATAGACAATTTGAGATTATTCCTCATTTGGATAATCAATAAATGATGCAATATGGGAGTTTAAGTGTCCTGATGTTAGGCTCTGTGCCATTTCCTGTGTAGGCTTTCTTTAGAGATTTTGTATTAGTGGTGGATTTGCCAGCTTGTCCAGTACTCCCAACAGGATAATGCTTTGTGTGATGGAAGGCATTTCATGAATGTTGTGCTCCATCATATGCAGAAGATGTGTGTGCTTCGAATACGATTTTATCTCCTCTGCGTAGTTTAAGTGTAACTGGTTCCCTTAACTGAGGACCATGATATGCTATAAAGAGACATGGCACTGAGATAGAACACATTGGATACTACTGTGATAGTGTCTTTACTTAATTTCACTGTTTAGCACTCATATTCCCAAAACTAATGCTGGAAGCCTTAACCATAAGGCAGAAACTGGTTTTAGGAAGTCATTACTGATGGGTATTCCAGTTGGCTGGGGTAACCTGAAGGAAATAATGAAGAATTGGCTTTGGAAGGAACTATTCTTAGAAGCTACATCTGAAAAGATACTACTTGCTATTGATTTAATATTCTTCCTTTCTTGGGTTAAAAGAGAGCTTTGGAGTACTCCATATGTATTACCGTTTACATCATTCTTGATTCAGTGCTTCCTGATGGCCAAGTGCAGCTCAATAGCTGCTTTATGCATAAATATGCTCTAGATGTCTTCTAAATATCTACTGCAGTTTTGAGTGCTGTGGAAAGTACAGCAGTATAGAATTTTAATTTTTTTTTTTTTTATGTATAGGATACAGGAAAATAAAAAGAGAACTGTTTATTCATATGAAGTATGAATCATCCTTTATTCATACAAAGTAAGGATTTTACCGATTTGGAAAAGTGTGTGTGTATTTCTATCAAACTAGCATTCTTGCGGGACTGGACGCAGGGACAGCAAGCACATCATCTTCTCTGATTTCGCACTCATGTAAAGTACCTTGGCCAGAATTTTCCAAAGAACCTGGTTCCTACAGTTAGCTCTAGATATTATTTGATTAATAGTTATCGCCTTTTCTGGCAGGTTTTTCTGGCATTCCTCTTGGCAAGGAGTTTTGAAGATGTAGGCCAAAAGTGTAACTGTGGGCACTCAGAAGCACACTTCATTTTAGAATATCCTGGTTAAAATTCAGAAGAAACATTTGAAATGTTTTCATTCTGGTTTTTTTAGAAAATAGCTCTTCATGTAGATTGGCCATTAATTTACTTCCTTTCCAGAAAGAGAAAGTGAAGAAACAAGTAAAATATAGTTGGTGCTGTCAGAATCCTCTTTGAAACCCAGTTAGTGGTACAAGAATGTGGTCTTAAAAGATTACACTTTACTTAAGCTTTACTCTTCATTCTCCCTTCCCAAAAAAGCTACAGCAGGAAAGCGATCCATAAATCCCTGTGTCCACTTTATGGCATGGTGCCTCAAATGATGAATGCTGACACATTTTGATTTAAAAAAAAAAATGGAAGTCTATAAAAAAATAAAATCAGCTTAGTGAATTGAATGTTGCTTCCTTAACGTTTTTTCATCCTGAACTCATTTAGTAGGGGAAATGGATATTTCATCAGACATGGATTTGACGTTCCATCACATTATACAGTAAACAGTACAAATTATGTTATTTTTTTTTAAATGGAGAAGCTGGAGGAGCTAAGACAGTAGCTGCTGTAAGGCACTGGTTATCTCATTTAAACAGATATTAAATGTAGGTGCCAGTGGTGTGATCATCAGCTGCTTCCCACTTTGTGAATAAATTGCTTAGAAGGAGTCTTTTTTCCTACCAGATGTGACCTAGATTTAGATTTCCAAAGGCAAAAAAAAAAAGTCTATTGTGTAAAAAAAACAATTGTGGGTAAAATGCATGGTAAATGAGCTTATCTCACTTTTCCAGGTGTTTAAGCTAATATGTTATGGAATTACAGCTTCATTTACAAAAAATAATTGAGGAAAATGTTCCAGCACATCAAATTTGGATAAAGGCTTAGTATAGTTATTGTGTTGTTAGCAAGTTTCTAAATGGAAGAAAGAAAAGGGAGCCAACATAGATAATAAAAATATAGAAATTTGTGAATCTGTGAAGAGGCTCCTGTGCGGGGTCAGGGCTGGCAGTGGTATTCCACCTGTATTGTAGTCCTGCAGAATGTCTTGGAACAATATAAAGAATTATATACCCGGCAATGCATATGAAAGCAGAAATTTTTCTTAAAAGATCAAGCATTCATATCTGTTGGCCCTGGATAAGATTAATGACATTAGTAGGCTAAGTGTATGAACATCAAAAGAGTAACACCTTTATTCTTTTCCTCATTCCTGTTTTTCTTTTGTCAATTCCATAGGGGCTGCCACTCGAAAACCAGACCCAGAGCCTGAGAAGCAGACAGACCATACTGTTAAAATTGCTGGAGTCATTGCAGGCATCTTGCTGTTCGTCATTATATTTCTGGGAGTCGTGCTGGTAATGAAGAAAAGGTGAGCAATTACTGAATGTTTTCTATGTCCATATTCATATTGCATCTCCTACAGCAGTACTCAGTTTGGTGTTGGTAAAAGTATCCAGCCACCTTCGTACCCATAGAGAATTAATGTTTGCGTCTTTGTTTTATACATAACAGCTCGAGGTTAATAATTCTAGAACTTCTTATGTCAGTACTGCATGATGGACTCTAGTAATCAGAGAGTATCTGGTCCTGTGTGAGTCTGCACCCTGTTTGACAAATCAGCTGGAAGCTAGATGTAGTTTCACTTTTGCATGTTAAAGAAATCTTTACACAAACAGGAGTTAGAGCTAAGACAATGAGGTCTGTATTGTTCTGCATAAACTTTGTTTCCTGAAACTGTGGAAAATGTTGCAGTGGTGCTAAATGTTTCCAAATGCTGGTTCAACACACTCACACATTGAGATTGTTTTGCCTTGAATATAATATGAAAACTGCTACGTTATTAGAAGTGTAAGGCTTTTAAAACTGTCTTTCTCAACACTGTAAGAGATAAAATAGTAACAGGAGAAATATAGCTAGGGAGGTAGCACAGAAAAGAAAAAACTCCCTATGATCTTAGAAGCTTAGTCTAGATTGGGAGAAATTAATTAGCAAATAGAAGTAAGGTTTTCAGTTCTGTAATGAGCAGTGTGAGATTTACCCCTATTAGAGGTGGGGTTGGGAATGTGCAAGTGCTGTGTAAAGTGGCTGAGTGACAAATTCTCCTTCCACTTCTGCCACAGTCTCATTACTGTGTCCCATAACCCCTCACCTCCTTGCTATTCCCCTTGAATTATCCCCCTTTTTTCCTCTGAGAGCAATCCTGGCCTGATTTGGCTCATCCCAACCCTGTGTGATTTAATTGTATGTTAACTAGTCTGGCAGGTCTGAGATAGTCCAAACCCCTGAGCTGCCTGAATTTCTTCCAGAATTTGAGCAGTGGAGGTGCACAGCAAAGCAGGCAGCTGTCTGACAGTGCCTCCGGGCAGGCAACAGAAGTAGCTGCTTTTCACTCTCCTTGAAGACAGAGGCAGGGTCATGAGATAGAAAGTCTATATGGAGAGAAAGGCGAGCTGTGGCCAGGGCTGGGGGCCAGGTTGTGACAAGGGGTATGTAAAGCACTCAAAAGCTGCCATACAGAAGAGACTGAGACTTAAGCCCCAGGGTGAGTCTGACTAGGGCACTGGAGTTGACCCAGTAACCAAGTCTGCTCAATAGAGTACAGTGTAGCAGAGTTGAAGTCTGTTCTGACTTTGCAGTACTTTTTTCTTCCCACTTCCGATTTCTTGCATCATTCATACCTTCAATTTTAACAGTTGAACTCTCAAACTCCTCCCTAGGGCCAGACACAGCACTTGGCATGCAGGGGGGAAGGCTTCTTGGATTTTCTGGCCAATCCTTTTTCACACAATTCCTGACCAGCATTCATTATTCTCTCTGTTCAGTTCTGAGCCTCTCCTTAAGTGTTTCTGCCAAAGGTAGAATGTATTCACCCAAGGGAGACAAGTTATTCTTAATCTTGAAGGGAGAATATTGCAAAATTATCCAAATAGTTTCAAAGTGAATAAGGTGTTGGGATCTCTGGCTAAGTGGATGCTATGCCAGCTCCTGCTTAATTCTCTAGAGAAACACTCTTTGATAATCTAATTATTAGAGGCAGGAGAGCTCAGATCCTAAGTGTTTGCATTAATGCAGAAGGATACTTGATTCCTCCTGTCTACCACAGTGGAGTAATTATTATTCATAGTAATTCTGTTGTTAGAGAAAAAGTGCATTATGTGAGCTTCCTTGGTTTTTGGAATAAAACTACTTGTGACAGAGATGAAACTATTGAAAATACAAGTCCGGAAACTCTGTTTCCAGATACACACAATTTCATTGTGTAGTACAGAAAGAATGATACCAATAACTTAAATATGTCCCAGAATGATGCTGCAGCCTTGAATAAAACAAACTGAAATTAGTTGAAGCGAATATTAAAAAGTAAGGATGGTTCATTTGTGTAACAGGATGTGACTAGGCTTTAATGAGAGTTTTGGGAGGTGGGTATATTGTGTCCCAAGCCTCTTAAAGCATCTGCTGTAGCATAGAAGATCTTGAATACAATTACACTCATGACTTAAGCAGAAGATGAACTGATTATTCAATACATTGTTATTGGTGCATTAATTCACTAGGCTGCTGAGGGCCCCTATGGTTTCAGCGTGGTTCAGTTACTGTGTATACATTATGCATTTGAAGGAAACGTATAAATAATGCCACAGGCTTAGTCTGGCTGTAGTGATTTTGCAGTTCTGCGATATTTTAGGTGCTACTTTGGGAAACAGTGTTATCAAGCTAGTGAGCCATTTGACTTCTGCACTTGATCATTTTTTTTCATTTACTTTATCAGGAGCTTTACTGGTGTAAAGATCTGAGTGAAAAATAAAATAGCACCTTGTAATTCAGTGGCACCTTTCCCCTGAGAAGCACTTTGTTCTCTGCACTATTATGTGCAGACTCTCTGGGCTACAATGGTGGGTTTCACTGCACTATGTGCTTTGAAATTTGTCTTGCTTGGTGTTGGCTACAGCAAAATTCCATCCACATTCTGCTATCCCAAGGCATATCCCAAAGCAAATGTGTTAGTCATTCTTCCACAGAAAAGAGTCTTATGTATTTGATCTTCAGATCATACCAGTAGATGAAACCGACCGTCCCTGGGGCTTCACAGTACTTAATTAACTTAATATCAAACCATTTATGTCCAATGTCAAGAGATTTGGAAAGCAGTTTCACTTGTGTTACAACCATGATTTTTTCCAGCGCATTCCTTAAGTAGCCACCTCATTTCACTCAAAATCCATTCTTTGCTTGTTTGGTGCCAGGCACCACAGATTTTCACATATCAGTCTCTTGAGCTTTTAATTCAGTAGCCAGGTAGAAAAGACCAACATTCAAGGAGGATATGCTTTGGATATGCCCATTACCAAAGTAGTATGTAAAGAAGTTCTGCAAATATTAATAGTCATTAAGCAGCATTATTAATTTCACTATATAATTGTCTTCTGAAGCAGTTGTATCATAAACCAGGGAGATTAGGTGGCCTAGAAATTCAGTGCGTGGTTTGGAATCACTAGTGAGGGTAGAAACATCATGGATGCTGAAGCATTTTGTGTAGGGACACTCAGCTTTTGACTAAAGTAGACCAAATCTGTAAATTTGGCACCTGGGTTAGGGGAGGACTGTTAGCGCTTTCCTCCTTACCTCTCCAGTTGGTTGTTCATAGTTCTTTATCCATTCTGTTCTATCTTTTCTTTATCCATTAGCATTCCTGCATAAAGGTGTTGTGTAATGTAGTCTAGGAACCTCCAAGCTGTTCCTAACCCCGGTATGGTCATATCAATGAGATGATTCTTCTCTGTGAAGTTAGAATAGTGCCAGTAGGCTTTCAGCTTCCTCAGATATGCTTTGTATCTCTCATGTAAGAATTAACACAAAGTTAGATGAATACAGTACTTCCAAAAACTGCCCCAAAATTGATCCACAATAAAGTGGATTTTAAATCTGATCCTAAATGTTAAATCTTGGGCAAGACCCAGACTTTCATGTACTTGCATAAGATTTTATAAAAACATTAAAAATAAAGAATGCACCAAGTAACTTCATCTTTTGGTCAGCTTAAAGTGGAACAGTGAAAATGAGAGTACTGTTGCTACAACCTTTGGAAAAGCAATAGCAATTACATCAAGACTAGCATAAATTAAACCCTTACTGCTTTATTTTCTCTGTTCGTGGTTTGTTTGGTTTTTTTTCTTTATATTCTCTTTAAGTTAAATTCTAAAATTTTGCCTAAGATGGTAAGTTAGTGTTCCAACATTTGCTTAAAGACCATTTATATATCTTTGGGGCAGCTGTTTCCATTGGGGCTGCCATTTTGTTGCTGCAGTGGAAGTGTAGTAACAAAGCTGTTACTAAAATTTTATTCCATTGGCTTCTGATTCAGTTGTAGAATGGAGTTTTTCTGATCATAAAAAGGCTATTTTGTTTTGCCTGCTTTTAATTTCTGTTTTCAGCTGCCTCTGTGCCTGAGCCTTCCACGAGTTTCTAATGTATGTAATTGTGGCATTTGTTTAAGTCAGAGACCTTGGTTCTTGGCCGTGGATAAGGAAGGGTTTTGCACTCAGTGGAGCTGTGCTGGCAACACATTGTTCCCATTCCCTGATAGCAAATCAGGCTGTTCAGTAATACGTACACCTTTGCCAATAATTTCAAACACTTAGGAGAGAAACTGAAGATAATAAGGCTGAAGAAAAATTTCAGTCTCCTCTCCCTGAACCGTATTTTCCCCTGTAGGCCAGCTATAAATGAGAGATGATGGAAGAAAACACTGAGGTAATGACACAGTTCCAAAAGTTTCCATTCTGATGGGTCAATCCTTCTGCAGACAGCCTCCTGTGCTGGTTTTGTTAGATTTTATAGTGGGGCTTTATTCTTCAAGTGGCATTCATGAAATTAATTTATGTATTCAGTCCTAAAGGAGTTAAAAGTGCATAATATTGCCACTATATGCAGAAAAAGTTTATTGACATAAAATAATCTTACTACTGGGAAGTGACTGAAGAGCTATGCTCATAAGAAAAATCAGCCTAAGTTGGCCAAAATCTTTGCATCAGTCTTTTTAAAAAGACTTTTCATACATAGATAGAAACTTTAGTTTGTATTCGTTGTGTATGAGGGAGAGTGGAACTTGTCCATATTTCTTAAAAAACCTAAATCCATTCAGTTATGGATGGTGCTTTAGCATGTGCCTGAAATGCTTGTATAAAACTTGCAAGTATAAAACTTTCTGCAGGATTTTAACATACTCTTTTTACCTGTTTCTTTCAGTGTATGGTATTCTTGAGAGTCAAAACCTTGGTACTCTTTTTCAAGGACTTTTATATGGAAAATCTCACAACTGTAGCAATATAAAAATAGCTGGAGCTTGAGACTTCCAATTTTTCTCATGTT